ACTTGAAAATAACCTTTGACAATGCGGTTAGAATTTCGCTTTGAGATGTAATTTCTTGATTTATACTGTCAAGTTATTACTAATCGGTTGTCTACGGTTTTAGGTAATATTTTACTATTCCTGTACGGGCCACGATGTGTCCTCCAAGGGAAAGATGGTACTAATTCTGGTATTTTGTACTTTTAAAGAAATTATAAATTTACTTCGAGTTGTTATGCTATCAGAAACAATACATAGGCCGTGTTCAATGTAACCGAACGAAATCCACCTTGACATCACTAAGAGGCCTCTCGCACCTGTGTGTTTTCTATCGACAACAACTTTTTGTAACCTTCATATTTTTTACATGAATACACATTATTGTTTGCACGATATTTTTCTGCTTATGTATTGGTATTATAACTTAGATTATTGTACTTAGACGGAGAGGCTTAGACTGTCCCTTTGAAATTTTCAAACTAAATTTACCCCAAACGAATTTCATCCATGCCGGAATATTAGATAATATTTCATATTACACTCAATTATTTCTCAATACCTTTTACCGACCGATCTCTCTCTATTTTATTGTCGTTGTTCTCTGTCATCCAAAAAGCAGGTGCAAGTCATTTTTATCACAAGTAGTCCCTATTATATGTAACACACGAGTAATCTTTATACATTTTCGCATAAAGTACATAAGAACATATATTTTGCTTTATTAGTTGAACAATACGAGTTTACGTTATTTTTCTACTTAGGTATTTACTACATGCTTAGACGTTTAAGAGGCCCTCGGTTGTTTTCAGTTTTCGATAAGGTCTATTTAAAATAATTATACCATTAAAAAAAAAAACTGCACAGCTCAAACTAAGTACTGTCTAAACCAGTACAGTGTAAGCCGGCACGGTACAAATAAAAAAACGAAATTTACCTATTATTAAAATTATTTGATAATTTTTATACAAGCGTCAATACAAAAAGTATTAACGCAATTTTAAAAATTAAAAACGTTGTCATTTAATCCCACAATGATGCATATTAAACAAAATTAAATACAACTTTATGGCAAACATAATTTTTGTTTTTAAATCGTTTTATGTGTAAAATGATTTTTTTTTTAAACTAATTTTATCACTTTTAGTTGTAACATTTTAATTTCTAAAAAGTATGCTGGTTTTTTACCAATTTTTTTTTCTCGCAATCAACATTAGGTTTTAACATAAAAACCAGTAATGGACAAAATAACATTGAAATCATTCGAGTAGTAAACTGATAAAATACCTAATTAAAGCATTGGGAAAAGAAAGGGGCTGTTTAACAAAAAGACAAACTGACAAAATAATATTAAAATCAAACGGCTAGATTGAACAAATAAAAGAGTTTGTTCTCCACTCGTTTTCTCGACCAAATAATTGTATTCTTTTAAATTATTCTTTTTATTTTTTTTCCTATTTTGGCAGATTAGTGTGATTTTAATTGTCTGTTACGGACAAGATATAAATGTCCAAATCTATTTGACAATAAAAACTTAAATCAAATTGAAAGTAATATTTTAACGTTCATATTTTGGGTAATTAAAAAACGATCTCCGGCGGTTTTTATTAGTTTTAATTGAAAAAGTAAACACGGTTATACCACACATAGGGACATAATATACAAAAACTGACACAATATCAGAAAAAGTTTTACTTTTTGTTAAACACGATTATACTTATACATGATCATTGTTGTGATGTATTTTTCATGTTTTTAAACGTGTTTCATTCATTTAGAATCTCATTCTGCTAATAATCAGAAATCATCATAATATTATGAAATATGTATTTGTCGGGTACAATTTATGTTTTCGGACAATTTTCGATAATCGAGAAAAACATGTAGGCATATATTTTTATCGAATCGTTTTTGTCTTTGTATCATGACGAATCGTCAAGAGCACAACAACAACAACAACATGTGTTTTGGGTTTTTTGCCTGTACAAAAAAAATCGACCGTAGAATAACACCTAAGAAAACAATTATCACCCTCTGAACGCGTGCCGACATATAAAATTCAATATTCGTGAAAAACTTGTATATTTTGTAGACCCTTTGAACAAAACAACCGAATGTATTTCAACCACTACTGCTTTGGTACTACATTTTTAGTATTAGGGCTAACGCGATTAGGGTTGGTCAATTTGGTACCCGATGACTTGTTTAGGATTTTCTTTAATAAAATAAACTTTGACAAGGTTGAGAATGTTTTGTTTGCTTTGTCAACGTTTTGTAGGGGAAGGCGGGAACTTTTTAAATTTTCAGCCCAACAAAGTACATTTCAGCTGTTCAACGGTTTGGGATATAGGTACTAAAGGTATATTAAAGGTCACAGGGCCGGTGGCAAAAGGGGTATGGTGGATCGTCTCACCCCCCCCCCCCACACGAATAACACATAAGTTATAAAAAAACGTTTTGACCGTTAATGTAGTCGAGATCATAAATTGTTAAGCCAAGTCAACTACTAAAAATATGGCTCATTTCTTTTTTTCAACAACTACAACAAATAAGCATATTGTAACATAAAAAGTTACAAACCTAATGTAATAATCGTGTTGAGGTAAATTTGTGTTAATTTTTGATAACAAATCGTGTACCCGGTGTAATTTTTTTTGAAAAGTATAAAAATATAAAATGTATTGTTTTATTAGTGTATGTATTTGAATTGCAAGTAGCTAGTGTATCAGATCAAATTATATTAAACATAACCCTTTAGGGGCCTCTACACCTGCGTGTTTTTGGTCGACAACAATTGATTCTAGTTCAAATGTACTGTTTTAAAAAAGTTGAAACTTGCATTTTTTTATAATGAAATAATTAATATACTAAAAATAATTTAAAAATATTGCCACGGCCGATGCCTTGATAATGTTGTGAACAATTCAATTGTTGTTTAAAAACTTAAATCCATGTATTCTCGAGGACAATACGTTTGAAGTAGAAACATGTGATTTCGTACAAAAATAGATACTTCATTTCTATGGTAATATGTATGTTTAAACATTTTAGCTTAATGCATGTTAGTGTAGAACCCCCTTAGACAAAATTATGTCAGGGAAGAAATGTAGTGAAAACAATCAATAAGCTTAAAGAAACTTTATGTGATACAGAAAAAGAAAAAGTGGTCGTGGCAACAGATAACCTAGACTTGACAAAAGTAAATTTTTGTTTTATATCGATCAAAAAGCGTACCTACGGACTTCGTAGGTTTGAACACGACTTATGTTCTTAGCACTTTAAATAGTCCTTTATGATGTACAGGTAATATACAACTGTAAACATAGAACTGTGTACATAGAACCGATAAAAATATTGTTTTAGTTAAATTTTTTTTTTTTTAACGCCCCCCCCCCCGTCAAAATTTCACAACGCCGACCCTGGAGGTCAAAGGTCCAGGCACTGTTAAAACAATCTTTGTTTCTGTTCGATATTTACTATTCCTACGACCAACGCGTTTATTTGACAGTTATTCAATCCCTTTCAGTAGTCTTATGATTCCCGAAATTCGTGGGGTTTTTTTTTTTTCTGTGTCCTGATATATTTTTTTTCCTAGTCGCATACACATAGTAGTGTTCGCTTTACACATTATTAGTCGGCGCTGGATGTCTGGTTTTTAGGCACGAACACACACGGGTCATAGTGTGCGCTACTCTCCCAAAAACATATTTTTTTGGGTCACAAAAAAACAGCTTTACACGCTCCACAGGCGGAATCAATCGTTTTTCGTGGCAGCTAGTCTCCTTTCTTTATAGTGTAAACCATGTGATGGAAACACTAAATGTCGGCCAAAGTGAATGATTAAACTTGAAAAATAATATCTTGGCCTATGTAATTGTAGGCTATAGACTTAAACAGGATAGTCGTATCAATTACATTAACAGTATTTTACAGAAATTCGTCTACATAATTTTAACGAAGTTAGGCGTGTACATTTGCTATATCTTATAACGGAGTTGTTTATATTTTAGCTTTAGTACAATTATTTTTTTTTTTTCTCATTGCACATCCATTTGAGGAGAGACTTTCTATAATCGTATATCTAAGCTAAGTGTTATGGTATCATTGCGTTCGTAAATCTTTCTGTGCAAACTAGCTCTATTTTAATTCACGAGAAACTTGATGTAAATAATTAATAAGTTATCTGTATTAGCAGAATGATATAAACAAACATAAGCGTATAAATGTTTAGCAAATTATTTTTTACTTAAAAAGTTAGTAAAATATGTGTACACAAGGTATGCCCATGGGCAACTCGGCGGTGCTGTCAACGTGCCGTATAAGTATCCTTTAAGAGCCATTCTTTTTTTTTTTACATCATATTGAGGTTATAGATATTGTTTTTATTCATAAAATATGTGACCAATATGTTCAATTTTTTAATTTATTATTATTATCAGTATTAAAAACATTATTTTGCAAAGATATTACTGAAAAATTATATTATAGACTCTATGGGGTTCTAAGAAAGTACTGGCTTTCAATGACCGTTTTTTACCTTTTAAAGGTTTTTGGTTTTCGTCAAACACACAGTCATAACATATAAATCAATATTATTGCATTAAACACGGTAACCGGCCTTGTAAAAAAAATTTTTTTTTATTATTCTCTTATATACCATGTAATCAATGACTAGCAAACCACAGTCAATGTATTGGTAAGAGATCATTTTAACAAGATAAATATAAACTCAGAATAAGCGGATCGAGCTGCTGATTGAGCCGTGATCTGGTCGCTGTAACGAACTAGACTCGGTCGTTGAATGACTTCATTTTGCAAAATTAAAACGGAACGCAATTACATATGTGTATCCGGCCCAAAAATTGATCCATGTTAGAAATCAGCTGAGATCGGGTAATTATACTTAAAGTATAATAAAATAAATAAAGACAAAATAAGAGAGAAAAATGATTTATTATTTAATTCAAACTACATTTGTACGTGACAAACTGCATACATAAACATATATATATATATATATTTAAGTAGAATCATAGTAGTATTATGGATACAAAATTGAAGTGGCGATGTACTCCACTTCGTTCGCGTTAAATTTGAGTTCTGAAAATACAAAATATTATACATTTTTAAACAAACGAATCAGGTAAATTTGACAGAAAAAAGTATGTGAATAATAATGAGTTTCAATAGTTTGGTCATTTTACACAGCGTATTTATTGATTATAATTTTATTGTTTATTACCTTCTCCTTCTTTCATATTGAACATTTTGTACGCTACTGCCGTTTTATCCCGTAAAAGTAATGATAAGTCACGAGCAAACCGATTAGACCTCATCTTCACACCATCAATTATTGTTCCAAAATCATCAATTGTTATTGGATCATCTTCCTCTCTCATCGCGTCGAGTAGCATTCCGATCACGTTCTATTGTTTTTAGAATAAAAAATTGATATTAAAATGTTTCAAAAAAGAGAAACAACACACAACCAGTACAGTAGTGGGGACGGGGAGGTCACAGGTATCCAGGAATTTTTTAATCTGAAAGTGATATAATCACATTCGATGCGGTAAATCGGTAGTTAGTATTTTCAAGCCAGTACAGTCCAAATCAATCACAGCAGTGATAAGCCAGCAAAGTTGGAAAGTATTAAATTTGAAAGTGATTTCATCTAAGAGGCCTAGTACAGAGAGGCGACGGAGAGGTCACGGGTCTACAGGAATTGTAATACAATTTAATGAAATCACAAACTTAAATCGGTATCAGTAATCAGTATTAAAAAGTTACAGTGTACACAGACAAAAAAAAAAGCCCGCATCATGTTAAAACCAATACCTTCGCTTTGCATAGAAGCTAAAATCATTTTTCTGTATTTTTGGGTCGGTTGTTGCGAATTTATTATCAGTTTTCAATTTTACTCAGCCAAAAAAACTTAAGTAAAAACAATTAAAACCCAAAAACAGTACTTGAGTATCAAAACTGAATAGAGCTACGAAAAATTATTGTTGTAATGATTTGATAAAAAATGTTTAAGATTTTAGTTGTTTTTGCTAAAATATACGAATTCTGTGAAAAACACAGTACTCTGGCAATTAAAGAAAAACTGCAGTGCCGAATTTTTTCCTCGTTTAATATGTCGTGGATACATATTATGAGTTCTAATTACTGGCAAATTTTCAACTTTAAGGTTCATAAAACTACGGGTAAACAAAAAAAATTACACTCCCCCTATGGCGATTCCAAATAGGTATAATTCAAATTTAATACAACTGACGTGTGCGGACATACCAAATCAATATTCCTTGTTAATTTCAACTCGATCCGACTCTTTTTCTCGAAATTATAGCCAGTAAAAGATCTAACTTAAAAACTCTGGTGGTATGGTGTTTTTCAAATTTTAAATGTGAAGAATTAAACTTTTTCAATTTTTACCACTACCTCCCCCATAGTACCAACTAAATAAAGTTTGTGATTTATAGAGTTGCTACTCGAAGAAATTAGACCAGTATTAAAAAAGCCCACACCATAGTAAAATAAGTTCTATTATTTTAAAAATAAACTAGTGTAAGGCGTTAAAAAAATCACTTGGTATTTAATTTTCAGTTAACCTACCAAACATATTATAATATGCCCTAGGGATTATTTGGCATAATAACACAGGTATCATAGTAGTTGAAGGATTTGTTTTTTCATTTATGGGGAAAAACGGAAAAAGAAATATTTTTTTATTTATGTACTCATTTCTTGGCCAATAACTGATTTTTCTTTAGCGACATACGATTAGTTAAACACCAGATTTTTTTTAGAATAATCATATCGATTTCATAGTAGTTAAAGCATTTTTTCATAACAGGAAAAAAATTTAATTGTTTTGTTATTTTCCTGTTCTGGAGTTAAATCTGCAACTAATCGTTTAAAAATTGTTATTTTGTTTTTTATATTTTTATGTGTGGGAACCAGCTTACTGGTAGGAAAATATGTAGATATTTGTTAGTTTAAGAAAAAATCTATGTTGTTCAAGATCCGGGAAGATAAAAAAAAAATGAAAAAATAACTGAAAGTAAAAAAATCATAGAAAAAAAACTTGCAACCATAAGATTAATTCTCTAAACAATAATTTACATCTTTTAAAAATCAGCAAGAATCTTACAAGATTAATTTATTTCAACCTAATTTGTATAGAATAATTGAATCTTGGAATATTTCGACTGTCCCTGCACATAAAACTTAACTAGCCTTTTATTTTGTAATATATTTGTTTATTTACCGGTACAGGCGCGTCCTGAGCACTTGTTTGACCAAACATGTATGGATCCACTAAACCTTTAATTTCACTCTCTGTGAAGGTATAGCCTGAAAACAGAAAATATTTTACATTTTTCAAAGAACCAAATTACGAAAATTTTAACTCGAAGGAATTAGGAATAATCCTGTGTAACATAATAATAATAATAATAATGTGACAATAAATATACAAATATATCAAAACCTATAATTAAAAAAAAAAAAAAAAATTATGTATCTCATATTCTATTTTTTTTTTTTTTTGTACACCATCAAAAATATTTTTTGAACCATAACTTAATAAATTTATTGGATATTTTTTATTGTTTATTACCTGATAATATAGTTTTCAATTCATCAACACTGTAAACTTTGCCCTCTTTTTTGGTTAAGGGTTCTAATATATTCAAGATATCTTTTACACCTGTCAAGTTTATGGTTTTAAATCCTTCTTCATTAACGAATACGGTACTTCGATTACGTTCTGTATAGTCCAAGATTTTATTACTGATAAGTAATAAAATCTTGTCAAAAAATAAAATCTTGATAAGTATATATATATTATATATGTAATTTATACATAAAAATCAAAACGCCAAACTATTAAATATATCGTAATAACATTATTTTTATAGTAATTAAGGCATTTTTCCTTATTATTATTATTTATTGTTTGTGTAAGTGTAAATGTAATTTAAATAAACTCTTCAGTGCAAAAATGGGTAAGGCATTAAATATATATATATATTTTTTTAATTTAACACATATTGCACATGCAAGAATCTCCGAATTTTTTATAAACCATACTTAATAACTTATGTGGTTTTTATACTTACGCGCTTATCAACTTTGGTGCTAATGACATGACATCGTAAAAAATATAACGCTACGCAAAATAACACAACTACGTTAATTTTTGAATTCATTTTATACATTTCAAACTATAAACTTGTATTTAGAATTATTAGTTTTTAATAGTAAAAATCGTTTTTAAACTATTCGATAATAGTACTTATGTCGGTTTTATAATGAAATGAGAGTGTTGTATCTTTTTGGATGATCGCAAGACTTTCTACAAGAAACTATACTTCACGAATGAAACGGTTTCAACTTTGTACCTTTGTTTGTCATTTTTAACACACGCACTCTCTCACAACTTTTATTATTTTTTTTTAGTAAATAATGTATTTTCCAATGTTGATGATGTGTGCCAAAGTCTGACGACTTTCGAGTGACGTAGCAGCCCGGTTTTCGAGCCACGACAGGCGGCGTTGCTTTTAGTCTTAAAATTGTGTATGCATTTTTCCGATTAGGATCGCAGGTTGATGTTATCTATGCGTTGTCATCAAAGTCCTCAGTTTTGGCGAGCTTTTGCCATACAAACACTCCTATTATCCTTTTTTTTAATCAACTTACTACAATTAATAACAATTATTGTTCCATTCGTGTCACCCCTATTAATTCTAGAGTAATTTTATGAAAATAAACCCAAATCATATGGTTGAACTATTCTTGTTTTTTTTTTAATAACAAGTTTTAGCTTCGGTGCGGAGCTGAGAAGGTGTTGTATTTACAATGATATGTTTTTTTTTTTTGTGTCTGGACCCACGATATCTCGTAAACCGCTGAACCGATTTCTGCGTGTAGCAACTCTATAGATCAGAAATCATACCTGGAAGGTACTTTATAAGGTTAAAAATTAAAAAAACCAGTACAGTGGGGTCGGGGCATAGTGGGGACGGAGCATAGTTGGGTCGGGGCATATTGGGGACGGGGAGGTCACAGGTTTACAGGAATTTTTAAATCTGAAAGTGATAAAATCACTTTCGAAAAAACGCTTCGATGCAAATCGGTAGTTAGTATTTTCAAGCCAGTACAGTCCAAACCAAGCACAGTATAAACCAGCAAAGTTAGAAAGTTTTAAATGAAGGTTCTGTATTTACAAATGAGCATCAAAGCGTTTATTTAAAAGCGATTTTATCCGAGAGGACTAGTACAGTAGAGTATTGGCATAATGTAATCAAAGCAATGAGGAAACGGAGTGGTCACAGGTCTACAAGAATAATTATAAATAAAAGTGATAAAATTGAATAAAATCGCTTTCAAATAAACGCTTTGATGCTCATTTGTAAATACAGAACCTTCATTTAAAACTTTCTAACTTTGCTGGTTTATACTGTGCTTGGTTTGGACTGTACTGGCTTGAAAATACTAACTACCGATTTGCATCGAAGCGTTTTTTCGAAAGTGATTTTATCACTTTCAGATTTAAAAATTCCTGTAAACCTGTGACCTCCCCGTCCCCAATATGCCCCGACCCAACTATGCTCCGTCCCCACTATGCCCCGACCCCACTGTACTGGTTTTTTTTTTTTTTGCAAAAACTTAGTGGACCAAATAACACATATACAATGTCTTGTTATATTTTGTTGGAATGGTCGACGATTCATGTTTCAATCGTTTGTACTCCATAGTTTAAATTATAATCGCTTATTCTCAATAAAATTAATATTTATGTATTATATACTTCCATTAAAGCAATCTCAAACCAACTATTTATACTTCACAGATTATATTATTTCAAAGCTATATTATACTTCTATTTTACTAGATTGACAATGTACAAAATAAAATGCAACTAAAAAAACCTTTTCATAGATCCTTAAAATGTAAAGGGTGGGATAGTGAAACGGGTTTTTACCATTTCAATACATTAGAAAATCGCCGTTTTACTGCCTCATCCTGTATATTAATATCTTGTTATTTTCTAAAGAAAAATCGATTTTCTTACATTTAAATTAAAATAAATCGTATACTGGTACTGTGATGGAGAAAACAATAAATTTTACCTACATTTATTACTTATTAGTTAAATATTACTAACATGTATAGCCACTAGCGGTCGGCTGTTGCCTGTTATTTAACAATAACCTATTATGGAGTTTTTAAAAATTGTGTTTTTTTAATAATAGCATAGGAGCAGTATCATGATGTTAAATGTTCACGAGATTTGATCTAGTCACAAAATAAAGTATTATCATATATGACTTAATTATTATTAAAATTTATCTTAATAGTAATGGTACATAGTAATAAAATAATGAAATATTTTTTACAAAATTAGAGCTACAAGTTGATAAACTAAAAAAATAAAATTAGCACGAAGCAGATTATCTAATATTAGACAATTTAAACAATCAAGCGTGAATCTCTTTAAATGAATAACAGTATAACAATATACAAAACATAAGTTTTCCTTTAAAAAAATTGTGTAATAAAAAAAACATTTTGAGGCGGTATACTGCATAAAAACCAACACTTAATCTGAATCCAAAAAACAACAGTCCTCTTCATTATTTGCAGGTAGTTGGACATTAAATACTCATAGTTAACCTTCGGTAAGGTTATATAACGCAGGCTATAAAATAACGAGATAACGACAGTGGTTTTGTCGTATCAGAATCATTAAATGTCTTAATAAGTACACGGATAGGTTTTTTTCCCAATAAATCGAGTGTCTACTATAATCAGTTACACGATTTAGTCGCCTATGATATCATGTAATAAACACAATATTATGATACCGATCATGGACCCTAACCTAATCTAACACGGATAGACGTTACCAACTGATAGTTTTTAGTGTCTGTTCGTTTCTCACATCTGGTACACTGGGTTTTTAGTTAAAAAAAAAAAAAAAAAAAAGTTGAATTTGTGTAAACTTTAAGTCAAGAGTGGTACTTGAGCACAAAACCTAATAGTATCATTCTGCATAGATATAAATAAAATTGTTTTAATGATTTGATCAATTTTTTTTAAAGATTTTAAGTGTTTTTGTTAAAATATACATAATCTGCGAAAACACAGTTTCCCGGCAATTAAAAAAAAACTGTAGTGCCGAATTTTTTTCCCGTTTAATATGTTATGGGTACATATGAGTTCCGACTACTGGCAAATTTTCAACCCAAAAGTTTTAAAATTACGGCTAAAAACCCCGAAAAACAAAAAAACTTGTACCCCCCCTAGGGGGGCGGGAAATGGGTATATTTTGAATTTGACAAAACTGACGTGCGCGGGCTTACCAAATAAATATTTTTTAAACATTTCAACTCGATCCGACTCTTTTTCTTGATACTATAGCCAGTAAAAGTTCTAACTTAAAAACTCGTACGGTTTTTTTTTTGTTTTTTCAACTTTCGTCTGTGAAGACTTAAATTTTTTCAACTTTTACCCCCCCAAAGTACAAACTAGACAAAATTTGTGATTTATAGAGTTGCTATTCGAAGGAATTGGTCTAGTATTAAAAAAGTTACAGTGTATACAGCGAAAAAAAAAGCCCACATCAGAGTAAAACCAATACCTTCTCGCTTTGCATCGAAGCTAAAACATTTTTCTGGATTTTTGTGTAAAAGACATCAAAAGTGGTCAAATTATATGTTTTTTGGGTCGGTGATTACGAATTTAATATCAGTTCTCAATTTTAATCATCCGGAAAGAACTTAAGTAAAAAAAAAAAAAAAAGTTGAATTTGTGTAAACTTTAAGTCAAGAGTGGTACTTGAGCACAAAACCTAATAGTATCATTCTGCATAGATATAAATAAAATTGTTTTAATGATTTGATCAATTTTTTTTAAAGATTTTAAGTGTTTTTGTTAAAATATACATAATCTGCGAAAACACAGTTTCCCGGCAATTAAAAAAAAACTGTAGTGCCGAATTTTTTTCCCGTTTAATATGTTATGGGTACATATGAGTTCCGACTACTGGCAAATTTTCAACCCAAAAGTTTTAAAATTACGGCTAAAAACCCCGAAAAACAAAAAAACTTGTACCCCCCCTAGGGGGGCGGGAAATGGGTATATTTTGAATTTGACAAAACTGACGTGCGCGGGCTTACCAAATAAATATTTTTTAAACATTTCAACTCGATCCGACTCTTTTTCTTGATACTATAGCCAGTAAAAGTTCTAACTTAAAAACTCGTACGGTTTTTTTTTTGTTTTTTCAACTTTCGTCTGTGAAGACTTAAATTTTTTCAACTTTTACCCCCCCAAAGTACAAACTAGAC